TCAGCAAGAAAACCAAGCACAGGACTCTCAGTCTTCAGCTCTGACAGTCATAAGAAAAAGAGCGGAGCAGATGGTTACAGCACAGCCTGAGGAAGAAATGGCCTTTATTAAACTTTACAAACCCTCTAGAAATATGGTAATATATTTTGCTACTGTTACTGCCAATAAGCCACACACACGCACACCAACCCACGTAGGGACCATGAAGGAGTCTACTCTCCGCTTGGCAACATACGTTTGTTTGTATTACTAGCTAAATTTATCCAGTTCCAATTAACTGTTCTCTTTAGTATTTTTCTCTATGTAATTATCTCAACACCAGCGGGGCATTGTTTTTCTAATAAGAATTTAAATTTGTTAGATATAATAATGCTAAGACATCTTTGTTCTTGACCAGCAATGCATAACCTGGGTTTGTTTGGCACAGTTAGAAGCAATAGCTTATTTGCTTTGGGAGGAAAAGAGAAAGAGTTGTTCTCTCCAAAGAATGTAACTATCTGGTTATCTGGAGGCCAGAGGCTAGTTTGCTGAAATATCAGCAAAGCCAGTAGTACTGATTTGCTTTTTACATAGGCACAAATAAGCTGAAACTAGTTCTTTAGCTCTTGTACGGTTGATAGGGTTCAGCTGAAGAATTTGATCCAGTTAGGCTTTTATTGAGGGAGAGGACAAGTGTGCAAAACCATGTCCTGATTTGTTTTTGTAGAGCACACCATAATAGGACTCCAAAAAGACAAGCAGGAGGACTTTCCTCATTAGTCAAATTATTATGTAACAATTGTGATACAAAAAGCAGCAGCTTCTGTCTTCTAAAGTAAAAGTACCTATCACCCACAGGAGTTTTCCAGCAGTACAGTTGAGTATCTTCAGTATCTGAGTTGGCGGCCTTAAGGAAGATGCAAGCTACACCCTAACTTTGATAAAGAACGAACAAAACCCATTTTTTTTTCCCACCCTCTCATCTTCTTTTTCTAGATTCTTTCGGGGGTTAAAAAATTATTCTGTATGAATATTCAGTGCATTTTCCACGGCTTATTTTTGTGACAGTGACAATAAAACATATGGCATGTGTATAATATATATATATACACGTGACACAAAATACATTCAAATGTAGGCCACCCACTGGCCCAGTCTGTTCAGTAAAGGTGGATATGTACTTGTGTGGCTATGACATCTAAGGCTCTTCTTTCAGGATGGTGGTTACATACCCATTGCTCAAACAAAATTGTATTGCAAACCAGGGTGATACTATAGGTTTTCTCTAAGGTCAAGAAATTATCTAACATAGCCAAGTAATCGTGCAATGCTGAAAAAACAAGGGGAGTGCTGTGGTGTGGTTAAAGCTGGGCTGGTGGAGACAGGAGCTCAGGACTCCTGAACTGCCCTCTGGGGACATGCTGAGGGCAGCTCTCATCCTGACACATGGGTCTGTGCTATCTATAAAACCTTAATTTTGATTCATTTGCAATAAGTAAAGTGTCTGTCATGGGTAAGGAAAAGTATTACAATAATCTTTTCTTTCTGGAGCAAGTTAGAAGATCTACTGCTCTATGTAAGGGGGAAGTTAACATTCTCAGGAAATGCAGAAGCGTGGCTTTTGGCTGATAATAGTAAGAGTTAATATTTAATTTAACTTGGACATCATATTAATCATGTGAATGTATTACATTTTATATCCATCCATCACATTGTCACACCAGTATGTAATAGATATTCTATATGAGCACAGGAAAACAATCCCAGCTTGAAAGAAAGCAGAACCATAATAACATAAGAAAATGTCTTTATTTCAGCCTTTGACTAGAACTATTGATAATCTTAGAGATATAATTACTTTTCTCTCAGTGAATAAATAGCTGTTTAAATGTCCAAACCATCACATACATCAAATCGTCAGCTACTGCAAGAAAATGGTGCGACTTCAATGACTTCTGTTAACATATATAAATTTCTATTATCTGACTCTCTGGGCCATTGAATAGAAGTCCTGCTGAGCTATGGAAAAGCAGACTGCATGCTTCTCTGCCTCACTTGCCATCAGCAAAATTGTCACCCACATTCTGATTACAGAACCTTATTATGGATAACGATGTAGAGACAGAAGGAACCCAGCTTGGTTTTCTGAATACAGGGGAAGGGCATGGCTAGGGAAAAAAAAAAAAGTCTTTTCACATGTAAGTGGAGAAAAATTGCTGCTGAATCACTGGGAGAGAAGAAATATGAGAGCTTAAGATGTTATTTTTTTCAGGCATAATTTTTACTTTAATGGTCTTTAATAGCTTGTATAAGTCAGTGTAATGGTGTCAACTGCAGCAGAGATAGCAGTGCAGAAATGTAATAACTGCTTAGAAGACTTGTTCTCCCTCTGTTGTTAGTTAGCGATGTGTATTGTCTTTTTCCTTTACTGTTTGCTGATTCAACTCGTGAAAAGGTAACTGGAGTCTTGGTCTTTTTCTCTCGTTTATTTATTATCTACTTTTGCCCTTTCTCCAAATAAATGCAGTCTCTTGAAACTTGCAGTAACACAGGAATCACAGGAAATTCACAGGAATCCTATGATGTCCAGCACTGGATAGCACCTTCCAGGAGCTCTTTTTCAGATTACGAACAAATTAATAGTCCAGATTTATCTCCCCAATGTTTAGAGTCACAAGAGCCGTTGCATATAATGCAAAGACAAGCACCATCTGTCCTAGTAAGCAGTTACCGAAAATACCTGCTTGGATCCAAAGGTCAGCTTATTTCCCGGGAGAAAGAAATGTAGAGAACAGGAGGAAATCCAAACTCAATAAACTCTAGTAAACACAAGGCAAGGTTATACAAACACATTGTGGCTGTTGTAAGATAGGTAGTTATCACAGGAACAGAGAGATATATATTCTATTCTCTGAAGTCATTAAGATATTAAAATCAGTTCACAGTGATCCTTGTCCCTTGGACTCAGAATAATTTATTTGGGAAAGGACCTCTGGAGGTCTCTGATCCAACCCATTGCTCAAAGCAGGGCCAAACTCAGTATTAAGTCCATCTTCAGTCAGATCAGGTTGCTCAGGGTCATCTCCACTTCAGTTCTGGGGAACCTCAATGATGGAGACCCTCATTTTGTAACTTCAGTGGAGTGGAAGAACGCTTACACGGAGCAGTCACAGAATTGCAGAATTGCAGAACAGTTGAGGTTGGAAGGGACCTCTGGAGACCATCTAGACCAACCCTCAGCTCAATCAGGGCCACGTAGAGCACATTGCACAGGATATCCCTGGACAGATTTAATTCTAAATGGACCTTGGCCTTCCTCATTGCATCCCTGCATACTCTGAAAAATGTTCCTATATTCCTCCCAAGTGGCCTGTTCATTTCCCACAATCTCTATACTTTCTTCTTCTGCTGCAGTTTTGCTAATAAACTAGACTCATGTGAGTGTTGATCCAGTCATGGCAAGGACCAAAACTAAGTGCTTCTTCCTTCTGTAAATTATTCAGATACTTATTCTCCCTTGTGCTGCCAGAGTGATGCTAGGATCATGTCAGTAAAAATGGAAATCAGCTTCACTGACTATCATGGTTGCTAACATTAATGCCACAAAGGGAATATTGCAGATAATTCTGTAAAGGAACAGTCATTGTCATATGCACAATGTGTTTGAATGTGAAACTTTTCAGAACATGCTGATTTTCATGCATACATGTATACACAAAACCAGAAGATAATGTGGAACTGATCAAATTGAAATAGCTCAATTCAACATTTTCCCCTGTGACATTTTGAGACTTTTATTTCAAATGGATTTTTTTTTTAAATTCTTTCTTTTGACATTTTGATTTTATTTCAATCATCTGTGTGGAATGTGCAATCTTATTTTAGCAAAACAAAGCAGTTCAGTTGACTCACATGACATAAAAAGAAATACTCAATAAAAATTGAAAATTCTTAGATTTTTGTGCCTTTTTAGTTCCCAGTCTGCACTTGGTGAACTAAGCTGTGCAACTCAAGGACATTTTTTTGCATATACTATGTGTTCATTTATATGCCTCTTATTTTAATGTGCTACTGGTACTTTAGAAATTCTCACAGGCAACTCCCTTAGGTTAGTGGTTCTTTGCTAATTTAATGTCTCTATCTTGTGATCCTACTGAATTCTTAAGACAGATGGTTACAAGCATTCCACAATAATGCTGGCTTGATGCAAATTGTTATTCAGAAATCAGAGATCATGCAGTCCCATTGGAGAAAATACTTTACAGTTTTATTTTTAGAAGACCTGGATGTCTCCTTCAGTGACGGGCGCTCTCTTGCGTTCTCCTTGCAGGTACTATGCCATCTGCTGCCAGCCGCTGGTCTACAGGAACAAAATGACTCCACTGCGGATCGCTGTAATGCTTGGAGGGTGCTGGGTAATCCCAACATTCATTTCTTTCCTTCCTATAATGCAAGGCTGGAATAGCATTGGCATCATTGATCTGGTGAGTAAACAAGGAGATTCATCAAACTCATATCAAGTCTATTCTGTGCTGTGCATTTTTCTTTAAAAACAACATTGAAAGACTTATCTGAAGCAAAGAAATACTAAAGGAGAAATTTATTTCTGATGAAAAAAAAGAACTTCTGGAAGTTGTTTAAGGGGATTTGAGCTGTGTTTTTCCCTTTGCTTTCTGCTTAAACTGGGCTAGTAGGCCTGTTTTCAGTAGGCAGGTTGAAGCCTTCTGCAGCATTTGGCATGGGCTGTGATATTGTCCCCAAACACAGGGACCATCAGCACCAGAGAGTTTGCAAGGCTGAGCAGAGGCAGGAGAGGTAGCAGATGGGCCAGGCACAGCAGGGGACAGAGGGGACAGAAGCGGAGGCAGTGGAAGGGGTGTAACAGCCAGCAGGCTGTTGTTTTAGGGGACCAGTAATGATGTCCCTCTCCTCTGTCCTTGCCCTTCCCCCCCCAGATTCAGCAAAGACAGTTCAACAAGGTTTCCAACTCCACTTACTGCATTTTCATGGTCAACAAGCCATATGCCATTACCTGCTCAGTG